GAGAGAGAGAGAGAGAGAAGCTGCAAAACAGCTGTCGGGAAAATGCAACCGATTGGGTTAAACTTTAAGCTAGAGGAAGCATTGATTGACATTTGACAGTTGACATTATAATTGTCAGTTATAATTGACAGTTATGGAGAATGATTTTGATATTGCAACTGCGTCTAAAGCAAAGGATGGGTACAGCTGATTGCAGCCTCCATCACATTCATTCATTCATTCATTCATTCATTCATTCATTCATTCATTCATTCATTCATTCATTCATGGAATTGTTAGGCTGCTCCATTCTGTTATGACCTTTCTGAGAGAAACATCAACTACCAAACAACAGCTGACTATCAATTATGGAATGTGGGAAAGTCCTTGAGAGACAGAAGATAAAAGATAGGCTCAAGATCCAGAAGGATCTTGACAGTCTTAAACACTGGGCTCTCTCTAACAAAAGGAAATTCAATGTAGAGAAAAGTAAAGTCCTACACTTAGGTAAGAAAAACCAAAAGGATACATATAGACTAGGTGAAATCAGGCTTAATAGCAGTAACTGTGAGAGGGACCTTGGAGTCTTAGTAGACAAACTATTGAGCCAATAGTGTGTGGTGGCAGCCAAAAAAGCCAATGCAATCCTAAATTGCATTAACAGAGGGATACAATCAAGATCAAGTGAGGTACTAATACCACTCTATAAAGCCTTAGTAAGACCACACCTAGACTACTGCATCCAGTTTTGATCACCATACTATAAAAAAGATGTTGAGACTCTAGAAAGAGTGCAGAGAAGAGCAACCAAGATGATTAGGGGAATGGAGGCTAAAACATATGATGAACGGTTGCAATAACTGGACATGGTCAGTCTAGTGAAGAGAAGGACCAGGGGAGACATGATAGCACTGTTCCAATATTTTAAGGACTGCCATAGAAAGGAGGGAGTCAAGCTATTTTCCAAAGTGCCTGAAGGCCAGAAAAGAAATAATGGATAGAAACTGAACAAGGAGAGATTCAACCTGGAAATAAGGAGAAATTTCCTGACAGTGAGAACAATTAACCAATGGAACACCTTGCCTTCAGAAGTTGTGGGAGCTTCATCATGAGACTTTCAAGAAGAGACTGTACTGCCATCTGTCAAAAATGGTGTAGGATCTGCTAGTTGGACCAGATAACCTACAAGGTCCCTTCCAACTCTGTTAATCTGTGATCTGTTTGTTTTCTTTGCTATTTATGGCAATCTTAGAGGATTCCTCCAACCTCAAAGTTCAAAAGCATCAATACATTTCTTATCCTGCTTCTTCAAAATCCAACTTTTGCTTCAATAGTATGTCACAGATAATATAATTGCTTACACTATTCTGTTCATTATGACAGTTGAATACCTTTTCCAAGACTTCCATGGCTGTTCTATCAAGTACTAATGAGCAGATTATTTCTTGACTGCTCGTTCCTTTACTGTTGAATCACAAATCATTATATATTTTTTATCCATGTGCTTTTCCTGGTAGCAAAAGATTCATTAAGAGTTGGGGTTAATAAATTATTATTTGTAGAAGGCCAAAGAATGGTGTTGAGGGGCAGGAAAAAGCTGTTATCAAGGCAACAGGTAAAAGGGGCCTGAGCCCAAGTCAACAATATAAAGTGAGTAACCATCTTACACAAGACCTTCCCTAGTTCATGTAAAGATAAAGGGAGGGAGGGAAAGCAGATTTGAGACAAAAAAATTAATGAAATTGCACCTCATGAAAACAGGGAAAAATGAACTTGGAAAAAGACTTGCCCAACTCATCAGAAGGGTTTTAAACTAAAATTGATGGGGAAGGATGAACAATCTTTGGAATACCTAGAACACAAATACCAATCATAGATCCCAAGAAAATAATTCAAACAATGAGGTAGGGAGTGATGAGAAAAAAGAAAAAAAAACTCCAATAACAAGTAGTAGATGCAGGAAACATACACATGGGCAGGCATAAAAGTCTTAAATGCTTATATACAAATGCTCAAATCTTGGGAAACAAACAGGATGAACTAGAAGCAATAGTACACAAGGGTAGGTATGATATAGTTGCCATTACAGAAACCTGATGGAATGAAACCCATGACTGGAATGTACTAATGGATAGATACAAATTGTTCAAAACAAACAGATCAACAAAAAGAGGAGGTGCAGTTGCACTATATGTAACAGATCACTACATATGTACAGAAATGCAAATGTTCAAAGATCTAGAATGTATATGAACTGTTTGATGAACTGTTTGCCAGTTAACAAATGTATGTAGGGAGCATACCATAATAGTAATGGAATAATTTAACTATCCAGATATCAACTGGGAGACAAAATCTGCACCAAGTGGGAGATCAAACAGATTCCTAATCAGCCTAGGTGACAACTTTGTCATCCAAAAGGTGGATGAGGCAACTAGAAGTAAAGCTATACTGGACCTAATTCTTACTTATAGAGAAGTGGTAGTTGAAGTTGCCAGAACTTTGGGTGAAAGTAACCATGTCATACTGGAATTCAATATAATGCAAACACAAGCAATGGAAAATAATTCAATCAGTATCTTAAACTTTAAAAGAGCTGATTTTAACAAACTCAGAGACAGCCTAGGAAAAATTCCCTGGATGAAAATCCTAAAGGGAAAAACAACTCAAGAGCATGGGGAAAATGTGATAATAAAAGCCCAGTCCAGCATAATATCACTGAAAAAGAGAAACAAGAAATTCAAGAAGAAACCAGCATGGCTGCACAAAGATCTCTCTGATAAACCGGAAGACAAAAAGGACAAGTACAAAAAGTGGAAAGAGGGACACATAACTAAGGCAGAATATCAACAGATAGCCAGAAANAAGGTTGACTCAGCCTTCCATCCTTCCGAGGTGGGTGAAATGAGGACCCAGACTGTGGGGGCAATATGCTGACTCTGTAAACCGCTTAGAGAGGGGCTGAAAGCCCTATGAAGCGGTATATAACTCTAACTGCTATTGCTATTGCTACATTTCAGAGTTCTGAAGGAGCTGGCAGATGTTATCTCAGAACCTCTGTATCACATCTTTCAAAAATCCTAGAGCACCCGGCAACTACCAGAGGACTGGGGAAAAGCTGATGTGGTTCTCATCTTTTAAAAAAAGTGGTGGGGGGGAAACAGACCCAGGAAACTACACACCAATTCCTGGGAAGATACTGGAAAAGATAATTAAAAAACAGATCTGCCAACATCTAGAAATGAATAAAGTAATAACTAGCAGTCAGCATGGATTTGTTAAAAACAGATCATGCCAAACCAATCTTATTTCATTCTTTGATGAAGTGACTAAATTAATAGACCAGTGAAATACTATGGACGTGATATACTTAGACTTTAGTAAGGCATTCAACAAAGTAGACCACAACCTACTTCTTGGCAAGCTAGAAAAAGTTGGGATAGATAGCATCACCATCAGATGGATTCATAACTGGTTGACAAACTGTACTCAATGAGTAGTCTACATCTACATGGAGAGAAGTAAGCAGTGGGGTACCACAAGGTTCTGTCCTAGATCCTAGTACTCTTCAATATCTTCATAAATGACTTAGATGAGGGAATAAAAAGCGAATTTACCAAATTTACAGATGATACTAAACTGGCAGGAAAAGCCAAAACCCTAGATGATAGGCTCAAAATCCAGATTGACAGATTTGAACATTGGACCCTATCTAACAAAATGAAATTCAATGTAGAGAAAAGTAAAGCCTTACACTTAGGCAAGAAAAACAAAAATACACATATAGACTAGGTGAAATCAGGCTTAATAGCAGTAACTGTGAGAGGGACCTTGGAGTCTTAGTAGACAAACTATTGAGCCAATAGTGTGTGGTGGCAGCCAAAAAAGCCAATGCAATCCTAAATTGCATTAACAGAGGGATACAATCAAGATCAAGTGAGGTACTAATACCACTCTATAAAGCCTTNGAGTCCTTGAGGCCACTTGGAGATTTATCTGTGTCCTCAGGGCCACCTGAGTAGTGCAAATGGGTGTGGAGCCTTCTTGGAACTTCTGAAAGGACTGTGTTGTACAGATACTGGCATGGAAACGAGCCACACATTGCTGACCATTCCATGTTGATATTATTCAAATGGTACCAGCAACCCGATGGAAAGGGAAGATGCTACATGGTTCCAATGTCACTGCAGACAATCTAGCTAACGAAGCATTGGGAGAACTTTTGACAGCATAACAGTGATACTAACACTTTGCAGCATAGGAAGTGCAGGTGAACAGGATGCCTTACCTGGGTAGCAAGACTCAGCACTTGCTGGACCAGTTCCTGTGTTTCAGACGGCTTCTTCAAAAATAGCTTTACAATGGCAGTCAACAAAGTCAGCTGCACCTGGAGGAAAAGCAAGAACAAAGAAATGAGGAAGGTTTCTGATGGACAAATTACATTTCCAGTACCAGCTGATCTCGGGGAATATTGCCTTCATTGGGATATAAGGTTTAAAGAAAGACAGAAAGGTTAAGCATCTGTGTGATGTGGCTCTTCATGCAATTAACAAAGAAAAGAAGCCTTATGGGATCAGATCTAAATTTAACCTAGCATCTTGCTTCCCCCAATTGCCAATCAATCTAATGTCTCCGGATAGCAGTAAGCAAGTGGGGAGGAGGGGGGAGGACAAGTGTTTCATATTTACCCCTGAGCAGCTGGTACCTAGCTACACAACCACATAAAAGTAAGAGAGATGGGCAGATCCAAAGGAACCCAAGTTATAGACTAATGCAAAAAACTTTGCAGGGGGAAAGTAATGCTGAGGCACAAAAAAAAGGGGCAGAGACGTTCCCATCAGTTGCTGAGAAGCAAGAACAAAGCTGAGTCAGTAAAAGGATGATAGACAAATACAATTAACAAAGACAGACCGTTCTCTGTTGAGATAATTTCCTGATTACATTGCAAAGCTATTTTTAAATACCTTCAGGGGAGACGTGATAGCTGTCTGCCAAAGTCAAAGATATGAATGTACTTGGATTTGGCAGATATGTGACCACAAAGATAAAATCCCAGTTCTGTCTCAAAACTGTGAATGAAAAACAAACTCTTCCCTAGGTGCTGGGAATTAAGGATAGTTGGACATATCCAGAGGGCAAATAGGAAAAAGTTGCACCAGCAGGGGTTTAGCTTAGCAGCACATAGTAGAGAAGCAGCGTGGTGGGGAAGCAACAGCTTGTGGAAAGAGAAACACGGGCAAGCTTTTGACCAGAATCAAAGCCGAGGTGGTGCAGTGGTTAGAGTACAGTACTGCAGGTTACTTCTCTACCTGAGAGACCGCCTCCTGCCATTTACCTCCCAACGACCAATAAGATCACACAGGTTGGGCCTCCTCCGGGTGCCGTCGACCGGACAATGCCGGCTGGCGGCCCCCCCCGAGGGAGGGCCTTCTCTGTAGCTGCGCCGGCCTTATGGAACGAGCTACCCGCGGAGATCCAAACCCTTACCACTCTCTCGGCCTTCCGTAAAGCGACTAAGACCTGGCTGTTCCGGCT